TCACCGTGTTTCTTAGAGCTGAATAGTACTCCAATGGTATACATATTCCACATTTTATTTAATCCATTCTTGGATTAGTGGACACTTGGCTGTTTCCCACAGCCTTGCAATTATGAATTGTGATGCTGGTAAACATTCAGGTGCGAGTGTTGCTTTTTGTTAGAGTGTCATTGGATCTTTTGGGGAGATGCCCAGTAATAGGATTTCTGGATCAAATTGTAGATCCACTTGTATCGTATAAGGTATACTCCCATATTGCTTTCCACAGAGGTTGAACTAATTTGCAGTCCCACCACAGTGTAGGATGTTCTCTCTCTCCGCATCACCCAACATTTATTGTTTGGAGACTTTTGATAAAGGCCATTCTCACTGGAGTTAAGTGATATCTCATTGTAGGTTTTTGATTTGCATTCCTGATGATTAGAGATGTATGTGCATTATTTTTTCATATGTTTGTTGGCCATTCTTCTGTCTTCTTTAGAAAAGGTTCTGTTCAAGTCCTTTGCCCACTTTTTAATGGGGTTATTTGATTTTTTTTCTTGCTGATTTTCCTGAGTTCTAAGTAGATTCTACTTATCAGCCCCTTATCAGATGCGTAGGATGCAAAAATTTTCTCCCTTTCTGTAGGTTGTCTGTTTACTTTCATGACTGGTGGCTGTGCCAGAAGCTTTTCAGTTTCTTTTGTGCAGAAGCTGTTCATTGATCATGTCCCATTATTTATTTTTGTTGCTGCTGTGATTGCCTTGGGGACTTCTTCATAAACTCTTTGCATAGGCTGATGTCTTTCCAACATTTTCCTCTAGAATTCTAATAGTTTCATACCTTAGGTTTAAGTCTTGTATCCAGCGTGAGTTGATTTTTTGTAGGAGGTAAAGTGTGGGTCCTGCTTCAGTCTTCTACAAGTGGCTATCCAGTATTCCCAGGCACCATTTATTGAAAAGGGATTCTTTTCCCCAGTTGTATGTTTTGTCTGCTTTGTCAAAGATTAGATGGCTATATGAGGGATGATTTTATATCAGGATTCTCAGATCTGTTCCACTGGTCATATTCCTATTTTTGTGCCATACGAGATTGTTTTAATACTGCAGCTTTGTAGTATATATAGTTTGATATCTGGCATATTAATGCCTCCCATATTGTTTTTGTTGCCTAGGATTGCTTTTGATAATCAGGGTCTTCTCTGATTCCATACTAAACATAAAATTATTTTTTCTATATCTGTGAAGAATGCTGATGGGATTTTAATAGATATTGCATTGAATCTGTAATCAGTTTCGGTAGTATAAACATTTAATGATGTTGAGTCTGCCGACCACGAGCATGGTATGATTTCCATCTGTTTACATCCTCTGCTATTTCCTTCCTCAGTGTTTCATAGTTCTCCCTGTAAAGGTCTTTTACCTCCTTGGTTAAGTATACTCCTAAGACTTTAATGTCTTGGTTGCTATTGTGAAGGAGAATTGAGTCTTTGATTTGGTTCTCAGATTAGAGTTGTTTGTTGGGATTATGAATGCCTCTGATTTACATGTATTGATTATTGTATCCTAAAACTTGACTTAAATTCATTTATCGAGTTCCAGGAGTTTCTTGATTGAACTTGGGTTTTCTAAATATATTATTAATATCTACAATTTTCCCCCCCGAACAACGGTGATATAGCACATCTTATATTTTCCTGGTTAGAGCTGGAACCCATACTACTAAGTGAAGTATCCCAAGAATGGAAAAACAAACACCATATATACTCACCAGCAAATTGGTATTAACTGAACAGCACCTAAGTGGTCACATAGGTACTATAGTAATTGGGTATTGGGCAGGTGGGAGGGAGGGGAGCGGGTATATACATACATAATGAGTGAGATGTGCACCCTTTTGGGGATGGTCACGCTGGAAACTCAGACTTGTGGGGGGAGGGGGGAAAGGGCATGTTTTGAAACCTTAAAATTTGTACCCCCATAATATGCCGAAATAAAAAAAAAAGTAAAATCATGTAGCCATGGAGGAAAACAGTGAGCTGTTCCCCACAAAGGTGAACACAGAGTTACCACATGATCTAGCATTTCCACTCTTAGGTATGTACCCAGGAGAAATGAAAACACATGTCCACAGAAATGTTTATAGCAGAATTACTCACAATAATCAAAAAGTGGAAGGAACCCAGATACCAATGATCTTATGCATGGATAAAGAAAATCTGTTATATTCAAACAATGGAATATAATTCAGCCAGAAAAAGGAATGAAGCACTGGTTTATGCTTTAACACAATGAAAACATCACACTTCATGACGGAAGCTGGACACACAAGGCCACTTGTTGTGGGATCCCACGGGGCTGAGGGTACACGGTTGGGCGGCGAGTGAAGTATAAATAATATGAGATATCTTTGGGGGTAATAAAAATGTTCTAGCACTCACTGTGGCAATGATTGTACAACTCTGTGAATATTCTGAAAGCCTTTGAGTTGTACACTTTACATGAGTGAATTTTATGGTGAGTTTTATCTCAGTAAAGATGTTAAAAATAATAAAGGACAGGTCTCAGACATCTTGTTTAGACAGAAACTTAGCCTCACTGCAGCAAATACGATTAAACCTGCTTCTAACTGGTGCATAATTTTGAGACTGTTTCTAACATTTACAAGAGTCCTTGGTTGTGTTCTCTCTTAGCCACTGAGCAAGGCTGCATTTCTATTATACGATGTCGTTTTCACCTTGGGCTAAAAAGACATGATTTTCCTAAGGTTTGCAACAGAAATGCCATTTTTAAAAAAGGGTCCCATTTTTCTGTCCCATAAAATAATAATCATGTTTTTTAAAAAAGTTTTTATTCTGCCAAGCAAATATTTTTTTTCAGTTTTCATCCATTCTACAATAGGAAATGTAATTCACACTTCACTGTTTCCTTCCATACATATAAATCTTTCCAATGTATGAATTGAGTTTCCATGTCCACCTTGGCTTTCCGTGCATGGTTTTCTTTGCGGTTTTCTCAAGAACAGTAAGACTGTTTTTGTGGTTGTTTTAAAGAAGAGCAAAGATATACTGCCCAGTATTGTGTGTAGAGTTCAACATACAAACTGCCTGTGATCAGACCTGGGTCTGTTCAGAAATCGTGAATGTTTTCTCCTTCTTTGGTGACTCTAGTCAGAACCAGATGTGAGGACTCGAGCACACGAGGTATGGAAGGGCCAGCCGGACGCTGGCTAGAGGCCCCACAGCCCGTGTTGGGCTGGTGAGGCTGGGGTGGGGGCTGTTCTGTGTGCGGCCACAGGTTCTCGGGCTCCATCTGCCTTCTGATAAACAGATGCATCTGAATCAGAGTCATAAATAGAATGGCAGCTAGAGAGCCTGTCTGCTAGCGGGCTGCGAAGGAGAAAGTTCCCACTGAGAAACAAGATCTCTCCCGGGAATAATTTCATTATAAATGACCTTGTCAAGTTTCTCTTAATGTGGAAAATGTGGTTCACAACCTTCCTAGAGGATCTGCCAGCCTGGACCACCTCTTGTCCTTGTATCACCCTCATCCAGAATCCCTGGGAATTGTCCTATCTCTCTATGACAAAACTGAAAATTTTCTGTTTTGTTTTTTATATTTGCTGCCTTATATTAGATCACGGTGTGCTTGGTTTCTTGGTCTGGGAGGCTATACAGGGCAAGTCACGGAAAGGCCAGTGGTCAGTTCCTGCTCACTCCTGCTGGGAGCAGGGGACTCCCTAGCACTGACCGGGTTGCGCCCTTCTGCAGCCTTTGGGAAAATGCAGCTTAGCTTAACAGTTACTGGCACTGAGCAGGACACCTGACACTAATGCCTATCTCTGTGAGCCAAGCCTCTGTATCATGGGCTCCAGCTGGATGGGGACACGCAGCCTAGTCAGGCCATGTTTACCAGGAAGACTGGACAATGGCCAGCAGCAGATCTAGGCCTGAGTCCACTCACCTTGGGCACTTCACACAACCTCTTTGAGTTTCCAACTTCTTGTCTGTAAGTTGGAGATAAGATGCCTGTCTTACGGGACTGAGAGGGTATGTGTAACACCTAAGGGCCTGAACGTATGTGCTTGAGTAGGCAACGGCTCTGCCTCCTCCCACCAGAGACAGAAGAATCTGTGTCAGTGTCTGCACCGTACTAAGTCCCCCAGTGTCGACGTCAGCTCGAGATGGTGGCCCTGGGCAGCACGTCAAGTATGGGGTCTGACTAGTTGTGTCAGTTACCTTTGTAAGTGGAAAATCAGGTTTGGTTTTCATCCTCTCTGTAGACAGGGTCTTTGCAATATGGGGCCCGTGGGAGTGAAGCAGAGAACAACAGAAGGGTCCTCAGAGTCGAGAGGTAAGGAATGGATTGAGTGAGACGTTGCACTGGCAGGTCTTCAAAATAGTTTTGCGATTTTCTTTGTCCAAGCCACATGCAGCCAGGGATGGAAACTTCCGACTTAGTCTTTGGTGCCAAGCTGAGTATAGTTGTGAGAAGAGCAGGCTTCATGCTCCCAGGCTGTGAGTCAGGCCTTTGCTTGTGCATCTATAAAATGGGCAGTGGCCTGTGGTCTTACTGGCCGGACATCAAGGAGCCAGACATGCTGTGTCGTCTCACCGCATGTCTAATCTCCTTTCTTTCTTGAAGCAAACCCCAGTTGAACAGGGTGCACAGCACCATGCTGAGAATCAGTCTCAATGGATCATAACTGGTCTAAGGAACTAACCCGGTTAGTTACCACTTTTCTGGCCTCCCTTGTAGCCATGAGGATCCGGTGAACCCACTACGGCGAAAGGTACCTGAGACCAAGGAAAGTAGGAGTTTCTGATAAGACAGTGGATGTGCCTGAATCGCCCCTTCTCCCCATGGTTCTTGTCTTGGACACAGATGTGATGTCAGGAAGTATAGCAGCCACTCTGTGACCACGAAGAGTCAAGCAAGCGCCGACACGCCAAAGACAGGAGCAGAAATGCATGACGAGTTTGGGTTCTGGCATTATTCAGGAGCTAAAACAACTCAAACAGTTGCCGATTCCTCAACTTCTTGTTATTTGAAACCAAAAAACAATCACAATTGTGTAAGACACTATTTGGATTTCTAAGACTTGCAGTTGGATACATTTCCACATAACTGCCCTGAGCACTTAGCCCCAGCTCTCCTGTGCCTGCCTCAGTACCCCACGTTGCCAACACATCCAACGCCCAGTAGTCTGGAGGGCCTCCAACTTTCTGAGAGCTGATCCCTTTCCCGGGATACTGCTTCCTGGATAGGCTCCAGTGCTGGTGACCTGGTCTCACACAGCCTTCCCAATGCCTGGCGCTGCCAGTGGTGTTGTTCCTGCCGCCTACTGCATTCCTGCCCTCCTCCTAGACCCAAGGGTGTGCACCTTACTCCCTTGCATCTCCAGAGCCGGGGACCGAGTAGGGCTTTGTACATGGTTATTAAACGAGCAGATAAATGCACAACGCCCCAAGTGTTCCGAGTCTAAGGGCTGCTTCTGTAGGGAAATCCAAACTTCTCCTCACAAGTGTGAAACCGCTGCTCCTGAATCCATCTCTGGCAATACAGATGGGGCTTGCCCTGTGAGTGTCAGTGGCTGCGTCCATGGGCCCAGCACAAGCTCCGCAGACGCTGCCGGCTCCTCCAAGGCCTTGGTTCCTGCTTCCCGCTAGGGCCTTTCCCCAGAATTCTGCACCAGAGGAAAATCAACATGTGGGTAAATGGATCTTGGGGGATTTCTGACCCTCTCAAAGCTGCACATGGTGGTGGCACTTCCTATTCACAGGATGGCACAGACGGCAGGACAGTGAGCCCCCAAGGACACAGACCAGGTCCCCGTCTCGGTTCACCTGGGCCTGTCCTGGCATCCAGGCTGAGACCTTGGCCATCACTGCAGGACCACCAGGCCCAGAGTGAGTCACTTCTGGCACCAGAACAGATCCTCTGTGTCAGTCTGCTTCCAGAAGATTCCACCTTGTCTGTTAGGGACCCATAGGGAGTAGTGAGGGGGAAGTCGTCACTATTCCCGGGACCGTACAGCCCTAGGCTTTCGCTGTATCTGCAGGGAGGACATAGGCCTGTGGTGGGAGTTGGGTGTGAGGCCTGGGGCAGGTGCCAGCTGTGCAGGTTGACTGCGCGTGCAGATGAGGCCAGCACGCTCTGAAGCCCCGGCTGAGGTGCGAGTCTCACACAGAGCATCCATCCCATCCATCTGGTATCTTGAGGAATAAGACTCTGCTCGCCTGGAAGCCCCTCTGGTATCCTCCCCTGGAAGAGGTACTGCCCCGAGGCCGAGTGTGCACAGCAGCCCCCAGGAAAAGGAGCCCCCGGCACCTGCACGGGGACAGGCAGGGACGGGGTATGAGTGCAGGAGACACTTGTTGGCTGACCTCGAAGAGCATTTAGAGGACACACAGGGGCAGTGGTCAGAACCGAGGACCCACAGGCGGATGGCCCTGGGGGCTGCAGTGTCTGAGGTTCTCACAGGGACTCAGGAAAATTAAAACCTATAATTAAAGAAACAAAGGAAATCAATACAAGTACTGGAATATAAAGTTGAAAAATCTGTAAGATTACACAGCTAAGGCACAAAACAATGGGAGAAGTATGCTGGAGGTGGTAGTGGGCAGGGGAGTAATCAGAGAAGAGAAACCAATAAATGTTCCCGCGCTAAGGAGAGGACCATCAGATAAAGTCACAGAGACGCAAGAGAATGAAACCTGATAGGAGGGAAGGGCAGAGAGCATGGAAAACAGGCCTCCACACGGAGACTCCCAGCAGCCCGAAATGCTGAGGGTCCAACTGCGAGGTTTGTTACTGTTAGGATGTCTATATTTCCCAGCAATCTGCAGAGGCAATGGAAGCCCTACCAAAATCCCAGAAAATGTCTTTTTTTTTTTTTGCATAAATAGAAAAACCCAGCCTAAAATTCATATGGAATCTTAAGGCATCTCAGGTAGCCAAACAATCTTGAAAAAGAATAGAGTTGGGAGATTTATACTTGCTGATTTTAAAACTTAGCACCAAGTTATAGTGATCACAGCAGTGTGACCCTGGTGTAAGGCCACTGATGTTTGACAAGGCTGCCAAGATCACTCACTGGGGGAAAGACAGTGTCTTCAGCAGATGCTGTTGGGGAAACCGCATGTCCAAATGCAAAAGAAGGAAGCCAAACCCTTACCTTGCACCATACATACAAATTAACACAAAATGGAGCAACAATCACATAGGGTTACAACTATAAAACTCTTCAAACTTTATGATGCTGGGTTTGGTGACAATTTCTTAGATGACACCAGAAGTGTAGGCAACAAAGGAAAAAACAGATAAGCTGTCCTTCACCAAAATTAGAAAACCTTTACTGTGTCAAGAACACTGCCAAGGAGGGAAAACACATGACTCAGAATGGGAGCGAATGTCTAAACTCATGTATCTGATAAGGGGTTGCCATCCAGAACGTACAAAGAACCCATTGACTCACTGCGCAAACGGGCAGTGACTTGAATAGACGTCTGGCCAACGCTCGTCATCCTCGGTCTTTGGAGAAGTGAAAGTCCAGACTGCCATGAGACACCTCCTCACGCCCACCAGGAAACCATATCCAGGAAACCAGAATACCCAGCACTGGCGGGAACACAGGCTGCGCTGCTGCTGTGGGGGGCGTGCAATAGGGCAGCCGCACTCCCCAACCTCAGCCATGCATTCCCGCGTGCCCCGGCTGTCCATGCCCACGAAGGATGCAGACAGTGTCCACACAGAACCATGTACAGGAGTGTCCCCAGCAGCAGCGTCCCTACACAGACAGAGGAGAGCATGTGAGGTCCACGCGTGAGGAGCCAGAGGTGACCAGAACCCCATGTGTTGAACATAGCAATGCCACCGGCTCACACACCTAAAAATGGCTGAGATGGTAAATTTTACATGTACTTACCACAACAAAATTGTTATTTCCATGGACAGACCCAATGTCCTCCCAAAATGTTGTACTGATTGATGCTTATAAACTCAGTAATACTAAAAAGCAGGGACTGCTTCTCGGACAAAGAGGAAAGATGAAACAGGAAAAATAGGTTATTGATATTATTCTCAAACTAGTGAAAAGGAAAAAAATAAATTCTCTATTAAATACAATTAAACTACTTAAACTAGAATGAGTTAATACAAAGCACTCTTAAAACAGAGACTTTCAGATACAAGGTGATTTACAACTTTATAAAAATATACAAGAGCTTCAAACTATATCATTTATTTAACTTAGTAAAATATCCATTATTGATTTTTGTAAGAATTAGAAAAAAAGAATCAAGTTTTACATAGTAATTCAAGACATATGTAATTGCAAATAAGTTAAAAGTTTGAATTTTACCCCAATTTCTCATTTAAAGCCTCAGATGACGTCTTACACATTATGTACAAACACATGACTAAATAATATGGCAGAAATGTCTTCAAAGTTCGCAGGTTTTGGGTCACTCAGAAAATACTGAGAATTTAATCTTCTTTGTCCGTAAGGATTAACTCTCAGCCCATTTCATAAAGTATTTCACATACTCTTGTTAAATATTAGTTCTTCTTGAAGAGAGAGTCTGATTTTATTCACTGTCTTTCTCAGGAAGGACATTTGTGATCCAGTAATTAAAGAAAGCTGAGATTACTCTGGCATGGTCTGGAAAACAAAAAACAAAAACAAACAAAATATAGAATAAAACAAAGACAAAAAGAAAAATCATGAACGATTTTGTAGATAATTAGTCTTTGGGCCCAAAGTAAACCCTGAAATGATCTAATAAAATGCAACTGCCGGGCGCACGTGTCCAGGAGGTGCCTGTTGCGACACCACTGCCAACCCCTGTGGCTTCCCAGCAGGATTGCGCCCGTGGGCAGAGGCTCTCCTCACACGTCGCTCTACCTTGTGTCAGGGCTCTGCTCCGACGCTGCCACCCGGGACCTGCTGCCTCTGGCGCCCACCACAGAGCGCACGGCCAAGCCCCAAAGGGAGCAGCTGTGCGGATGCTGCAATGGACATCAGCTGGGTGGGGACTTCGGGGCATCAGAGCTGCTGCTGGAGCTGGACGCATTAGCGGGGGGTGCTGCCGGAGAGGGGCCTGGCCCCCCAGAGACTCATGTCCATGATTCCCCCAGGCAGGCACGACCCCACCCACAGCCAGTTGCCTCAGCAGTCAGGACAAGAACTTAACCCCACACAGAAGACGAAACGTGGGAATTCCCACACACCTTCTCACTGCCTGGAGCCCGGTAACAATTCAATGCACGGGAGCTGGCATGAATGATAACGTGCATGGGACAAAATGTGACACATAAGTGTGAGGCCGGTCAGTTTCACCAGGCACCGCCCTGTCCTAAGGCCACAGGAGCACCTCTGTGCCAAGCTCTACACGTCTTCCCTGAGTGGAGCATCCACGACCCGGGAGAAAGGACCACTGAGCCAGGGAGGAGACACAACAGGTTGGAACTGCTCTCTACCTACTGTTAAATGCCCACTTATCCCACACAGATCCCACAGAGATGAGGGGTACAGCTGCTAATTAAACTTTGAAAGAGAAAGCTTAATTTCAGAAAGTTATGCAGGCCAAATCTGCATCAGACAAATGCAGTATTTTTATTTTTTTATTTCGGCACATTATGGGGGTACAGATTTTAAGATTTCAATAAATGCCCATTTCCCCCCTCCCCCCACAAGTCTGAGTCTCCAGCATGACCATCTCCCAGATGGTGCACATCTCACTCATTATATATGTATATACCTGCCCTCCTCCCCCCTGTCCAATACCCTATTACTGCAGTACCTATGTGACCACTTAGGTGCTGTTCAGTTAATACCAATTTGCTGGTGAGTATATGTGGTGCTTGTTTTTCCATTCTTGGGAAACTTCACTTAATAGTAATGGGTTCCAGCTCTAACCCAGGAAAATATAAGATGTGCTATATCACTGTGTTTTTCTTAGAGCTGAATAGTACTCCATGGTATACATATACCATTTTATTAATCCATTCTTGGATTATGGGCATTTGGCTGTTTCCACAGCCTGCAATTATGAATTGTGCTGCTATAAACATTCGAGTGCAGGTGTCTTTTTTGTAGAGTGTCATTGGATCTTTTGGGTAGATGCCCAGCAATGGGATTGCTGGATCAAATGGTAGATTCACTTGTATCACTTTAAGGTATCTCCATATTGCTTTTCACAGAGGTGAACTAATTTGCATCCCACCAGCAGTGTAGAGTATAAGAATTTTTTTATTTCCATCTTGATTTTTCATTTATGAAGTAAATCTTAGTAGGAGGTTGTTTAATTTCCACTTTTTGTGTAAAATGGAGTTTCTTGTTAGGGTTGATTTCTACTTTTATTCCACTGTGATCTGAGAAGGTACATGGTATGATTCTATTTTTTTAAATTTCTTGAGATTTACTTTGTGTCCTAGGATATGGTCAATCTTAGAGAATGTCCTGTGAACTGATGAGAAGAACGTATATTCAGTGGATTTGGGGTAGAATGTCAGTCAGACCCAGTTGTTCCAAGGTTTTGTTTAAGTCCATTATTTCTTTATTAATTTTCTGTTTGGAGGATCTGTTTTGTGCCGTCAGTGGGGTGTTGAAATCTCTGGTGATTATGGAGTTGCTATTAATCCATTTGCTTAGATCCAGTAAGGTTTGCTTTATGAATCTGGGTGCACCTAAGTTGGGTGCATACATATTTAAAATTATTATCTCTTCTTGTTGAAGTGTGCCCTTCACCATTATATAATGACCCTCTTTGTCTTTCACTACTTTTGTTGGTTTAAAAACTAAATCGTCTGAAATTAGAACTGCCACTGCTCACACAATTTTATTTCACAAAATTGTATTTCTTCTTGACATAGAAGAACTTTAAGTGCATGTCCTACGTGCACTCAGAGAGAATCTGTTTTTATAGAACACGGGTTCATAACTTTTAGATCTATCAACTGCTTAAAGTAAATGTCCTTGTGGACAAAACTTGTCCAGTGATTTAATGTTGGGGATCCTGCTAAACAACCAACAGCTGTCGGAATCTGACGTGTTTCAGACACTGCACAGGAACAGCCTCGAGTGCAAGAAACATGAAAAATTTAAATAATTTAAAATCTAAGATTTTAAATGGCTTATTTTCATCTCTCACAAAAATTTCACAGTAGTTTGACTTAACAAAACTGGCTTTTTGCTGTTCGAGATAAAACTTTGTCATGGGAATCTAGATCTGCTAAACTCTTAACTGTAACAGGCTGATGACCACCCAGAACCTGTGGGCTGCGCCCTGAGGTCTCTGCAGCCACACGCCGTCCTTCTCCAGGCACCTGCCTCATTCTGAGAGGACGTGTCGCCCACTGTCCCTGTCCTGCCCCCTCCTGACCTCTCCGGCCTCTTTGCCCCCTATGCCCCAGCCCACGCGGCTCTGCCTAGGTGCCTGCCGGCACCCCCGAGCTTTACCTGCCTGATGCCTGGTGCCTGGCTGAGCCCAGCCCAGCTTTAGCTCTGGGGGCCTCACCCCAACCCCCTTCTGACTGTCCCTTCCCCGCTTGGCAGCTCAGTTCTCCCCCGGGCTCCCACATCCCTCCCGGCAGTCGGCAAACCCTACAGCTGTGCCTCTGTGGTCCACGGGGACCTTGGCCACCTCCCCCAGCCGCAGGCCACTTGGCCAGAGTCAGCACGGTGCCCAGAGCATCCCGGCTTCTTCCTGTACAGAAGCCCATGCGGCACTGGGTCCCTACCACCCGCCCAACTGCCGCCACTCCAGGCCAGCTGTCTGGGCTCCAGCCTTGCTCCCCGGGCTCTAGCCTTGCTCCCCGGGCTCCAGCCTTGCTCCCCGGGCTCTAGCCTTGCTCCCCAGGCTCCAGCCTTGCTCTCCAGGCTCCAGCCTCCCCAGCTCTTCCTGTCCCCTTGGCAGCAAGAACACCCCTCACTCCATGCTCCCCCTGGAGCCCCATCTCTGTGAGATCCTCACACATTTCACACCTTCCCGCTGTGTTTCTGACTCCTGCATTAAGGCATAAGCACCAGGGCAGAGTCCATACCTGCCTTCTTCCCTAGCAGTACACCAGCGGGGCAGGTCCCCGCTGCCCGGCCCTGCGGTCACCTGCTCACAGCACTGGTGCCACACGGGAACTGCTTCATGGTCACGGGACTCGAGTGGCAATCGGCTTCTACAGTGAGCAGCTCTCGACTATCCAGTGGCCAAGACTCCGAGCTCCGAGGGTAGAAACTGCAAGCCTCACACTGTTTGGCCCCGCACTCACACTGGCTCAGCGTGCAGGTGACGTGGCCTCAGGAAAGCCTGGCTTTCTGGTCTGCAAGTCTCACCGTGGCCACAGCTCCACACGTGGCACAGGAAGACGTGAGCACACTGGCATGGCCCCTGTGGTCCACATGGACAGCACCCAGCCAAGGCTGAGGGCACAAGAGCAGGAAGGGCACCGTCTGTGCTCAGCGCTCTTTCTGACCCCGGGGGCTTCAGCAAGGTCTAAGACAACTGGGACAGAAGAAAGGCACCTCCCACCACCCCAGCGGGAGGAGGAGAGATGAGTCCTTCCACTTGTGTTTAAACTGGGGAGAATTTGGCTCTAAGAGTTGGTAGCTCACAAGTCTGGAAAAGTAGATCGCACATGCATTTCTGCATGTGTTATGTGAAATCTTTTTACACTGAGCAGAGATAAAAGAAACCCATTTCTCTGCGGGGCCCTATTCTCCCAGGCCATATGTGCACCCTTATATTCTCTGACGCGTTGCTGTTTTGCTGGGTGTGTTTCAGAGGCAAACCTGGGCGAGGATGTCTGAGGAAGGCAATGGACACATCGCACAGCACTTACCAGGAGGCAATGTGCAGTGCTCAGGGAACACTTCCAGAGCGTGCTTCAGTCCCTCAGTGTCCTGCAGATGCAACAGTGCCTTCATGTGGTCGAGGATGAACACATCCGAGGGCGGCAGGCCGCAGCTTGCAAGGTGATTGAGAAGCTCCTCTGAGGTTTCCACACGTACAGCTGAATCCGGATCTTTGGAGACACCTAAATAAAGTCAGGATCACTTAGAAATATAATGTTATCTGTGTTTTTATGAACTGAGGACTGAACTCTGATTTTTTTTTTGCTAAAAACTCCTTCCTAAGGAGGCCAGCTGGGTCAGGCTGACAAACAGTAAATTCCCACTAAGCGGCTTTTGTTAACCAAATAAAGCAGTGGTTTACTTCCCAACCTGATTCCAATATGGCATTAACATCACCTAAAAGATAAGAAGGCCCTATCTTAACTCAAGCATCCTAGCAGATGCCTATTCTTAAATTGAAAGCATCTTAAAACATCCTAGCAGGCGCCTATTGTAAATTTAAAATGTCCTCCTGTCTGGACCTCCCAGAGTACTCACACCCTTATCTTAAAATAAGCATATCCTTCCTGGTCTTCTAGATAAAGTCTAACTCTCTCAGCCAATTGCCAGCCAAAGAATCTTTAAACCCACCTATAACCTGTAAGCCCCCCCCTTCGAGATGTCCCACCTTTTTGGGCCAAACCAATGTATGCCTCTCATGTATTGATTTGTGACTTTGCCTGTAACCATTGTCTCTCTGAAAATGTATAAAACTGAACTGTAACCCAGACACAGTGAGCCCACTTGCTCAAGGCTTCTTGAGAGTGGCTCCGGGTCATGGTCCTCAAATTTGGCTCAGAATAAACTTCTTTCAAATATTTCAGGGCTTGGATTTTTTCCATCTACAGAACTAAAGATAACCTTTCATCTCTTAAGGAAACCCTCAAACATACACTTCCACGCAGAATGAGATGTCTGGATACAAAACGTTGCCAGGAGATCAGATCTACTTGTACTTTTCATGCGTGCGTCAGTACACATCGCTGCTCAGAAATGGATCTGAAAACCCCGGATCAGTCAGTTACGTGTGGAGGAGAATGAACCGTGTCCTGCAGAGAGACTGTGCTTCTCCGTTGGCTGAGAGAGCAAACATTAGCTCAACCGAACCTCCAATCAATTTGTCTTTTACCTGGAGATACAGCCTGGGACACTGGCACACTCCCAGATCTGATCCTCAAGGAACACAGAGCAGGAGACCAGCCCACATGTGGAATCACAGCTTTGCCGTGGTTGGCTGTGGTTTCTCTCAACATGCAGTGCACATCGCAGGAGGAAAGAATTTAAATATTCTGATTTTTGCCTTAAATCTATTACTTATTTTGAATATCTTAATGTGTTTTATACATTTAAATGTTTTACTATATGTGTTTCTCTGCAAATGTTTAAGCGGATGCTATTATGCAAAAGAAAAACAGTAAAAAACATACCATCATAAAAATAAATTTCTTGTGTTGACTTCAAAAAATTTAGGAGACTGTCTGTCTTTTTGCTGGTGATTTCAACGTCCTCCTCGCTGGCATCTGTGACGTCCTCCTCGCTGGTGTCAGCGACGCCTCCCTCCTGGGTGCCTGCAACTTCCTCCCTGGCAGTGTCTCCCGAGTCCAGGTCGCTGCCACCGCCCTCAGGCTGGTACGTGAACCTGACGCCAGAGGCCTTTGCTGCTGAGCCAGCTGCTCTCTTCCTTTTAATCTGCTGCTTCTTCTTGAGTTTCCTTTTTTTATTTTTGCTTATTGTGGGGCCATCTGCATGCAGTGGCTGTGATTTTTCTTGCGAAAGACTCTGCTGTTTCTCTGATTCTGCCCGTTCCCCATGAATGCCGCTGGGGCTTTTCTTTGACTTACGCTTTCTGACTCTTCTTCTCTTTGGTTGATCAAGAAGATCCTGATCTGTTAAAAAAAATTCAAATACGATTTTCAGTACAACAGACATATTAGGCTAAGTAAAATTTCCATCAGGATCTTGTAGTTTTGGTGGAATAAGAATTTAAACTACTGACTTTGGTGATTCTCAGCTCTACCTCACAGTAATTACACCATCTCAGATCATGGGACCAACCACAGTATCAATTAGCAGCCTACTTTCTTTTCCAAAAGAGCCCGTGCAGCTGCACACACACTCACAGCGTTACGATTATGGGATGTGGTGTGTTTTTAAAGCTGCAAGGGTTGCTGCAGTTTTGTTGGGAGGGGTAAAACTTCATTCCTAGGATCTGAGAAAGAAAACCGTATTTTTTATATTTTTACAGTTTACTTTAAGTCCCTTCTAATGATGACCTGCACATCTTGAGTCAGCACAAGGTCATGCTGGATGAGAAGATGGAGCCCGGGCTCTGGGTTGACAGAAATGGCTACTTAAAACCGGCAGATGTTGTGCTGGGAGATGGCCAACAACAGCTCTCGGGCAGAAAATCTCTAAGTGTAACCAGTGCTGCCACGGCTGACCCCCGACCAGCACAGCCGTATCGCTGGGCATGAGGAGATGCTGAGGACAGATTCTTAGGAGCTAAGACAGCAGCCCATGGCGGGAGAGAGGGCAGGTTGCACCGTGCATGGCCCACGGCACAGCTGTACCCCCAGCTGCGCGGAGGCTGGCTAGGGCCACGGCACCAGCACAAGGTCTTCAGTGAACAGCTGGCATCGGGCGGTGTGGCAGGAGACAGAGCACAGCACTTGAGGGCATGTTACCCTAAAACCCTGCACTGCGCCCACACCACAGCCATGCCCCACATCCTCTGTGTCACCACAACTCGGGCTCTCCGGGCACTGCCTGAGCAGGTCCGGAGCAATAAAGCTTGCCACTGGCCCACGTCGGGGTCTGGTTCTTAGACAATTCTCACTTTTAGGAAGTTCTCATTCTATTTATCTGAGCTGCAACCTCCCCCATCACAGATTGTGAGAAATCAAGATTAAATAATGTACATGAAATCCATGAAACACTGCATAAAGGCAAGATGTCATTACACTGAACAAAACCAGTTTCCCTACAACTTCTCTTTCACTTTGCCCTCCAAACGCAGACGGGAGATGTGTCCTGCGTCTGCTCTCATGGTCCCCCCTAGCAGCTTTCGTAATTCAGACCAATTTCCGCAGCAACCCGAGGACACAGCCAACAGAGGCCACACATGCACGGGGTGGAGCCTGCAGGTCAGAGCCAGCGCTGCTCCCAGACCTGGCGCTGAGGGTCCACGTGCAGCCTGAGACCCTGGAGATGTGGTCGGAAGTCAAATCCTGCTTTGCACCCTGCAAATACACAAAGTATTTTTCTAAGTGCTAAACATCATCCCTTTCACCTGACACGGATGCCCCCACCTGTGTCAGTGTTGACACACGTCCCTGCTGCTTTCTGAACGGAGCTCTCAGTTCTCTCTGGATGCATGTGGCAGCCACGACTACGAACCCTTGGTTTCCACCTGGCATGAAGCCCATACTACTCATAAGCCGTCCAGCCCACAACTGGCACACTTTTTCTCTCTCCTCAACCACCAGTGGATTTTTGAAGACAGCCTCTTCTATCTCGTTTGGGTGTCGGCAGCTGCCAAGGACCTAAGCACAGACATCTCTGAGCATTCACATTCAAGAAAGGATCACTGTTTACGGAATTAAAATCTCCCAGGTTCAATTAAAAAAAGCTAAATCTCTCCCCATTGGTGTCTATTTTAAAAACATGCCTGACTTCACTAATTTGGAGAGAAGTGATCCTCGGGGTGTTTATCTCCCCACAGCATCCCCCTGGCGCTGTCTGCTTAGAGCAGCACGGAGGGCGCCAGGCCCGCTATCAGTGTCTTCTCGCTTGGGGCTGTTCCAGCCTGTTGAGCGCGTGGCAGGTCTACGCTCTGGTCTGCTTCTCCCTGTGAGTGGCAGCACATGCTGCCTTGTGCGAACGGAGAAGGACTGCACTGCCCGTCTGGCACTTGACAAGACTATAAGTAATGACTTTAAAAGGTGGAGGTGGGGTGGGGCAAAAGGCTACAGAACAGCAATAAGCCCATCACGCCATTTCACACGGGGGCGTGTGTATGCACTTTTGAAAAGGACAACGATGTACACGGAAAGAAGATACTGGAAATCCGTCTCCCATGGTGTTCTTTGCGGTTATCTCTGGGTGGGGTAAGTAGGTTGCTTTGGTTTTTTCCCACCATATTTTCTGACTTCTAAGTTTAGGGCATTGAACAGATACTGCTTCTTACAATAAGGAAAACTTATTATTTTAAACTTGATGAAATTATGGCATCTCAAAATTTATGGGATACCACTAAATCCTGCTTTAAGAGAAATTTATGCCTAAATATACCAGGGAATATGCCACGAAAGAAGAAAGACTAAAAATCAACGACATGGGCTTTTACCTCAAGGAACCAGAAAAACAACAGCAAACTCATCCCGTGAAAGTATATGGAAAGGACCAGAAACATGAGCGTGGGAAACAATGAGAAAACAGTACAGTAGAGAGAGACCGACAAGCAGCAAAACTCTGAAGAAATAAACTAGAGAAATAGTACTGTTTGCAAAGAGAAGAGGCAAAGATAAGCAATAGCGGGGACACAAAACATGCTGCCACAGGTCCTACTGATGGTAAAAGCTGATAAAAGGCTGGGCACAGTGGCTCACATCTGCAATCCCAGCACTCTGGGAGGACGGGGGTGGGGTGGGGGGGAGGAGGGTAGGATCACTTGAGCCCAGGAGTTTGAGACCAGCCTGAGGAAGAGCGAGATCCCATCTCTACTAAAAAAATAGAAAAATTAGCCATCGTAATGGTGCATGCCTGTAGTCCCAGCTACTCGGGAGGCTGAGGCAGGAGGATCACTGAAGCCCAGGAGTTTGAGGCTGCTGTGAGCTGTGATGATGCCACTGCACTCTAGACAGGGTGAGAGAGCAAGACTTTCCTTCCTTTAAAAAAAAAAAGCCAATAAAAATCAGATGACTTGTATGAAATGGAGAATTCTGAGAAAAGTACAATTTATCCAATAGCCATATGAAGAAACAGAAAATCTTTTTCTTTTCTTTTCTTTCTTTCTTTTTTTTTTTTTTTTGAGAAAGAGTCTTGCTCTATGGCCCTGGCTAGAGTACAGTGGCACAATCTAGCTCACTGCAGCCTCCAACTCTTGGGTTGGAGAGATCCTCTCACCTTGGCCTCCTGAGTAGCTGGGACTATAGGCACCACCATCACACCCAGATATATTTTTTTTTTCTTGGTAGAGATGGGGTCTCACTCTTGCTCAGGCTGTATGACCTCAAGTGATCCTCCTGCCTCGGCCTCCCAGATGCTAGAATTACAGTCATGAGCTACCATGCCTGGCCAAAACAGAAAGTCTTAATAGTCCTATATCTACTTTAAAAATTTAATCTTTAGTTAAAAATAATCCCACAAAAGAACTTCAGTCCTAGGTGGACTCACCTGTGACTAAACATTTGAGGAGAGTCCAACGCCCCCCATATAAGCACCTCCAGAGTACAGAAAAGGGGTGACAGTCCAGCTCTATGGGGCCTGCATTATCTTCACCCCAAAACCTGACCAGGAGGTCACAAGGAAGGAGAGGCACAGGCCAATCGCTCTCACAGACTGTGCTACAGAAATCCCGGATATTAACAGATTGCAGGGACATGAAGCCTTTGACCGATTCTGACAGCAGTGTATGGTAAGATCCCACATCAGACTAGAAAGCGAAAGGAGAGTCCACTCATGCAGGATTCTACAAAAACCCACAGTTGCCGTCACACATGGTGGCAAAATGCTAAAACTTCCCTTTGAGGATTCAGGAAGGAACAGCAACGCCTGCTGTTGCCACTTGTGGTCACCTCTGCCCGGGCATCTGGGAAGAGCAAGATATGAGACACAGACTAAAATTCTCGAGAATTGGAAAGGCAGAAATAAAAGTGACGTTGACCACAGAGGGAGAGAACACAGAAAATCCAAAGGACTCTACACATGAACTCTGTCTGCAGGTGAGTGTAGAATACACGCAAGGGAGTGTGCCAGGAGCACAGAGGAACACGTTACCAACATACACCACATGGATCCAAATCACGACACTGTGAGTGACAGCGCCCAGAATGCACCCCCATGTCTCACAAGCCACCTGAGCCCCTCCCTACAGACTCCTGGGACCCGGTAGCAGATCCATGCACCTGGCGGGGAAGGGCATCGGGCAGGCCATAAGGGGAACTGGCAATGCCGGGTCATTACTTTGACGGTGACAACAGCTTCAGGGGTGATGCTTACATTGAAGCTCATCACGTTGCACACTTCAAACTTGTGCTGCTTGCTGTGTGTTGACTGTACCTCACAAAGCTACACGTTAACAAAAGTGACATCCCAGAGTGCCAGACTGGATGTGTCTGCCCAGCTCTGCCATGCCGGTTCTGTGGCCTCTGCCCCAGCTCCCTGCTTCCCCCGCCTCAAGTCCCCACGTGCTGGGCCCCCGGAGCGCAGCCCACTAGATCTCGAAGTTCTAATGCTTCTAGACAATGAAGCCTTGTAACAAAGACGTTGCTGAGCTCACAGAGAAGAGTGACATCCTACTTAGAACACACACCTGCAACTGTAGTGGGATGTGCCACCATGGGTTACTGTATTTGGCAACTGAGAAAAAAAGATGTTTAAGAATAATTTTCACATATGAGGTGCAGAAAAGTTTCCTAGGAGACTAGAGTTTTAGAAAGAATGCAAAGGTAATAATGTGAGGGGGAAAATGTAAATATAATTGCAAAGCCACATTTCTCAATTTAGACACAGTAAACTTTCACAGTAGTGCAGCAGAAGCCACAGGTGCATCTGTTTCACGATTACTGATCCTGTTCATTCTGACATACCCAGTTCTTTACAATGATGTTTCCCTTTTTGTTGCTTGGTTTCTTGCCAAACTAGAAACATTTCTTAAAAACAGAGC